CCCACCAAACGTGGATGGTGTGAAAGTCTCTAAAAGAGTCATCTTAGATAAATAAACCACATCCAAGTCCAAACTTGGCAGCTTTAAATTTAAGATCCTTGTTCTGCAGATTGACTCATAAGGAAATAATTTTCTCTCATTTAGAAGATTTAAGAGAATAGATGGGTTTCTGGGACATGTCAATCATGTTACTTGCAGTCTTAATGCTACGTTTTATTTTTGAATCACTTATTTGACACACGCCATCAGATCCACCCATATTCCACTCATTGTTGGAATCTGCTGCTGTGACTTCTTCACCACATCTTTTCATGTATAAAATGTTGGCATACTGCTTTTTTTTTTTTTCCTCCTGCAGTGACTAATTTCACATACTATGTTTTTCTGTGATTGTCACATTTCCTCAGTGACAATCAGAGTACAGTAAAATACACACTGCACAGAGGAGATCACATCTCAGTTAGTCCAGTCCAGATGTATGAAAATTGATCTTTTTTTAAATACTTTAAACTAGCTTCCTAAAGACCCCAGCAAAAATAATTGATCCATTCTGCCAGCCTTAATTTGAGCCATCTCTTAATTATCAATTATGCAATTTTTGTGCACTGTTTGCCAGATTCAGATACTTAAAAAGCAATACTAAAAAGTCTCATTGTCCATATTGGGGTGTAGCGATACAGGTACTTAGGCAGCGCAACATTTATTGAGAGTGGTTGCTAGCAGGTTGCCACAGTCTCCAGTAGATAACATGGAAAACTCCAGAGAGATCTTTTCACCTGTGTGAATAGCTTCATGGGAATTCATGTCAAACTGCATGTAGCCCTGAAATGTTTGAGACGGTAAATGTCTCTTTCATCTCTTTGCATGCTCGTCTTTTTGTTTAAGTTGCCTGTCTGGTTTAATTCGCTGGATTTACACAAAAACAACAGATTTGGATATCACTGAGATGGGTTTTATTTGAGTGAATTCTTCTTCTAAATGCATTTTACTTGATCCGAAGAAGTAAAATGTCACACTGACTGTAAATCCAGCACATATGTCTTTTTCTGTTTGCTTCTTCTTTTATTTTTCATTTAACTCCACCATTTCCCCCCCTCCTTCCCCCTCCACTGCCTGCTGTGCTCGGTGCTTCCACCATGTGGTTGCCCATCGGTACTGCAGGCACTGGCCCAGGCCATTAAGGAGGCCAAAGAGCAACATCCTGACATGTCTGTTACCAGAGTGGTGGTTCATAAAGAAACTGAGCTGGCTGAGGAGGATTGACTGAACTCAGGTAATGATAAAAATAGTAGCTTATCATCATCATCATCATCATTATTATTATTATTATTATTATTATTATTATTATTAATCTTTTTATATTTGATAGGGAAAGGTTTATTTAGCGGTGCATGTGGAGAAGCTGCTAAAGAAACCAGCTGCCATCACACATGCTGCAACAGTTGAAAAGAGAAAAAGGGAAAAGAGGCATTAGATTTTGGAAGGAGTACAAGGAGAACATTTTGATTAGGAAACCAGTGTCGTTTCATCATCGCAGTGCCCCAGGCTGATTACTCCCCCACCCCCCACCCCCTCTCTTTTTCCCCAGAGCTGAAGGGCCCGTCATGACTGTTTTTTCTTTGTCGAACAACCTTCATCACCCACGACGATCAGCCTTGACTGACGGGAGAGGAGGAGGAGGAGAAGAAGAGGAGCTTAAAGAACAGGGAGAGAAGGGTTTGACAAATGGACCGAAGTTGCCATTCTCTTCCTTTCTTATTGTCTGTGGTGCGATCTAAATCCCTCACTGCAAAACCAAGAAAAAGAAAAAAAAAATCTCTCATTGTTTCTGAGGGAACAAAAAGAACCACTTTGTTAGCATAACAATTGTAGCTTTTTTTTTTTTTTTTTTTTTTTTAGTTGTGCTTTTTCTGTAACTGTTTTATAAACAGATGATAGCATGTTTGTCCTCTATCACAAAGATGAAACTAGGGATGCACTGATAACCAATCTGGATGAAACTGTATCCTGCATTGATCATTTTGTACCAGTACTGATGACCTTCAGCTAACGTTTCTTACAATAACAGCACGCTGAGATGCTCAAGTAGAGAAAGCTTTTTATCATAACAGTGAGGTTATGCACCTGTACTTGGGTTCCGGTGCATTGGCATAGAAAGGTAACTTGTTAAATTACAGCTCCCCCTCTTGCTTCATGGTGATGTAAATGGAGAGTAATATAATAGTTTATAAGGAACATGAAGGAAACAGGGTGTCACAACTTGGTCTGCTCTTTTTTTTTTTTTTTAATTAGTATAACACACTCACTCTCACATATTCACAGGTGAATGGTAGAAACGTTGCACCTCACATTATCACTTCTACTTCCTGATCATTAGAGAAGAGCGGGAGCTGTAACTTCAACATCTGCAGGAGAGTCATCCAGGTCTTTTGGTTCTGTTATTTCTTTTTTTTTTTTCCTGTATAGTTATTATTCATCCACATTCCTTGTGTGTGACTAGCAGCCGAGTGAGTGCATTTTCAGTTCAATTCACTTTTTTTGCTAAACTGGAAGAAGAGACGGGTTTTGAACATTTTAAATAGGGTCGGCGAGCTTCAGCAGTAGTTCGAAAATGTAGGTGGAATAAATTCCATCAATTTTACAGTTTTAAATTTTTTTTAAGCTAAACTGAAGGTGGATTTGAACTGAAAATGACAACTTCTGCACAGTAAAAATGAAGGTTATCAATGGGAGCAGCTTTTCACTCCCCAGGCTCGTCCACTGTACGACACTAACCATTCCCGCTGGGCCTGAGGGGGAGCGAGGGAGACATAAACTGACTTTGGATTGGGAGACCGGAGCTGTAAAGTGAAGGATAATTGGGAGATTGCCCGATAAGTACCAGGGAATAAAAGAGAATTTGAATAATAATGCATGTTTTCTTGTATCCCACAGTGAAGTATTTTAATATTCTGAAGGCTTAATGCATAATGCAAAATTAACACTGCTATTTAAATTATTCAGAATGAGTTTTGTGCTCCAACTAGCACAGGTACCAAAATGAGGATGACTTGAAAGCAGCTCAGACTCAAATTAATGCAGCCTGCTAACTGCCAAGGAGCCCGTTTGCCGCCGTAGTTCAGCTCAGTTCATCGCCGGCTTCTTTTCATACCTGCTTGATATGATAGAGTATGGGATTAAATTCAGCATGTCTTCACGCAGTTTAATCTTCCAGGAGTCTCGAGTGAGTCTAGGTAGGACGCTACCACGTCAATTGGTTTGAGAGCGTGTGGACTATCTCTGCTCATACAGCGCGTCGGGCTGCTTTGTAACTGTTTCACTACAGCTAAACGTTTCTCTGCATGTTCTTTTTGTTTTTATTTTGGTTACATTTCATTCAGCCGATTTCCACGTTGTTCACAAAAAAACCGCAACGCTCTGAATCTGTCACCACACTTCAAACTGAGGCAAAAAAAACAAAAGTTACAACGCACCAGCCAAAATGCAGCTTAAAGGGAAGTGTATCAGAGGGTTTGAAGTGCTCTTGAAACCCCCTAAATGGAAACTCATTATGTTTTATTCATTTTCTGTCCTTTTACTCTGCAAAAAACAAAAAAAGAAAGTGAACTAAATTGTAGCTTTGTGTAAATATTGGGGGCATTAAATGTGCTAGGTGCTTGGTCTCGTGCATTTATTTTGACGCGCATTTTTAGCATAAGCAGCATAAAGGCAAAGTCATGTTCTCCTGAAATTTAGCTGATTGTAAGTGAAGAAGTGCCACTGATTTAGTATAATAAACATTCCACCTTAGACTGGTCTGGATTAATCTACGTCTCCCTCTTTGACTGGACGTGTTTTAAATGGGAGACAAAAGGATATTTTATTTCATTTTTAGAAATAAAAAAGGAAGAAAAAACTGCTAATCAGCTTTTTAACTTGATGAGTAATCACTGCCCAATTTGACCCATTTTAAAACTTTTGTAGTTAAGCGTGCTCATCAAACTGAGAGCTGAAGCTTTTTTAAAATCAGGAAACGCAGGTCTGAGCTCTACTATGCAGTTAAATGACATTCCACGAGGGGGAAGCTTTAACCTCGAACCCTCTTGTAAAGAGACAAAGCAGCAGAAAAGCATTTTTTTTTTTCTTTATAAAAATGTAAACCGTGCAACACTAGGCAGCTTTGGAAGCTTTTGATGTTCCAAAAAACAAACAAAAAGAAAAAAAGCCTTTGGTAATATCACAGTGACCACATTTGTAGATTTTTCTTTTTCATAATTTCTCATCTTTTCTCTGTGATCTAGTTGTTTAAAGGTGGGATTTCTTGTTCCCCCTCCATTTTGCATATTTGTAAAATTGTTGCAGTGTCGTTGTTTTTTTTGAAAACCACTACAAATGGAAATCTCTGCCACTGTTTTCCTTTTTGTACGTTTAGCCCCAGCTTTAACCGCTTTTCCGGGTTCTTCTGGGCTCTCTTAGCCAATCACATGAGCTTTGAGGCTGTGGAATCGGATTTTCCCAAATGTGTCATGTTACGTTAGGTTACACCAAGAAAAGTTTTACCAACCTCTACGCCTGTGAATCCACATCAGAGAACGTTAAATCCACATGGTGTCATAGCAGGTTATAATTGGAGGATCCTCTGAACACTTAAATCTCAGGCTTTGTTTCACACTCTGGAGAAACGGGAAACCAGCACAGTTTTTATATTTTATTAATAAAATAAAACTCACACAAACAAAGGAAACTTTACAGAAACTCATTTTGGAAAACCTACCAACTGCCTCATTGCTCTCTGTTAGCTAACCAGTGATCACCAGTAGGGTTTTTTCTGTCTAGCAGCTTAAATGTCTTGTATCTCCCCCCACACAGCCACTCCTCCCCCCTGTGTAACACTGTTTAAATAAAGGATTGTTATACTCGCTTCATTTCCTCATTCATTTCCTTGGAAGTGTGATTGAAAATGTGTGCAGCATATTTATTAGACATAATACCTAAAACTTAAATCCATGTGTAAATTATGCTTTTTAATTCATGTCAGTCGGGTGAGGCAGACGACGTCGGTGTCTTCAATGTCCAGCATGATGTGGCCCCTCAGGAGAGAGCACATAGTGTCATATACAGAGGGTGTTCCTTCATTTGTGTTAAAATGTGTCCGTTCATGACTGTCAGGCGCAGAAATGAGATCCAGCATTTCTTCTGTGCCGTCCTCTGTGGACATGCCTGTGGGTGGCGCTGATGGAGCTTCTGTCCTGCGCTAGCTTCAACAGATCAGCGTCAGCTGTGGATGAAAGATTAGAGATGAAGACTAAAAACAGAAGAAAACTGGAATGTTATGAGCTCTATGTGTAATATTTTAGTCTTTTTAACATTTACTATTGTAACTAGAATGAAGTTTAATTTTGTTATTTATACAATATTTTATATAAGTTTTATATATTCCACTTTGAATTAATTTAGACATTATTTTCATCAGTTGAAATCTTGGTGCCAACAGGCTTGTCATTTCAGTTCTGCGTGGGGCGATGGTGTTGGTTAACAGAATGGCCCAGGGGAAAAAGCTGTTAGTGAGTCTGGAGGTGTGGGACCTGATTGACCCAAGGCACCGACCAGAGGGCAGTGGGGCAAACGGGTGGTGGGTGGGGTGCAAATGGTCACCTGTGATGACCCTAGTTGTCTTGAGACTGGAGGATTTAAGGATAGCCTCCAGGGGTGGCAGAGGGTAGTAGATGATTTTTCTGGGCAGTGTTAATTTACACTGTGCACAGCCTTTTTTCCCTCAGTTATCAACTGAGTACCAAACACCCAGGCAGTATAGGAGAGCACGCTCTCCATTCAAGCAAGGTAGAAGGCTGGCAGCAGCTTGTGGTCCAGGTTGTTCTTCCTGAGGACATGGAGGAAGTGCAGCCACTGTTGGCCCTTCCTTACTAGAACATTGGTGTTGTGGGTCCAGGTGAGACCAGTGGAGATGTGGGTGCCCAGAAACCTGAAGGTGGAGACATATTCCACCTGTTCTCCATTGATAATGAGATGGGAGTGGAGCTCTCTGCGCCTCTATTACGAGTTCTTTTGTTTTAGGGACTGCCTGCTGTGCTCGGTGCTGCCACTGTGTGGTTGCCCAGCACCAGGCAAGTACTTAGGTATAATAGGCTCTGCTTAAAAAATGCTCAGTTGGTGTTAAGAGGCCCCAAACTGTGCCATGAGAACATCCCCTACATCATTATAGCACCAGCAGCAGCCTAAACTGCTGGTACAGTCTGATGTGCTGTGTGTTCAGAGATGCTCTTCTGCATACCTTGGTTGTAAGCAGTGGCTATTTGAGTTTATGTTGCTTGAAGAAGTCTGACCAGTCTTCTGTAACATCAACAAGGCATTTTCACCAAGGAAACTGACGCTCACTGCCACTTTCCTTTTTTTGTTTTTATCTTTTAGCAATGCTGGTACCTTGTGTGGTACCAGATGCAGGCTTTTGAACTGAGTGCGTATAACAATTCGGCACTCAACAATTCACCTCTTTATGCAGTGTCCATGTTTTCCAAAAAGAATTTCAAACTTTGACCACAGAACAGTTTTCCACTCTGTCTCAGTCCAGCGTTCATGTTCACGTATGGCTTCGTCTTTGCACAATAAAGCTTTAACCTGCATGTGTGGATGGCACAGTATTCACAGACAGTGATTACAGGAAGTGTTCCTGAGCCCATGAAGTAGTTTCCGTGCCAGAATCATGTCTGTTTTTAACACCGTGATGGCAATTAACCTAATTAGTTGCTAAATGTTCCTCTGGCTTTTTCTTTTACTTTTCCAGCCTTTTGTTGCACTTTCCCCAACTTTGACACACATTACTGCCATTAAATTCAAAATGAGCTAATATTTTTCATCAAATAGTAAAATGTCTGTAAAACTCTTTCTACTGTTGTGATTTGCCATCTAGAACACAGACCCAGATTTGTTTCTCACCAACATAAATAGAAGCTTTGTGTAATTTGAGCACCACTGACAAACAGTATGCGTTTGATTACCTGTAAATGATTGTAATTAGCATGCGAATAAACAGCAGACAATGTAAAATCACAAAAAATTGCACACTTTCTTGCTTTGATGCCAATCACGCCCAGCAGTCATTCCCACATGATTGTCTTTTAAAAACAGGTCACAAAAGAGTCAGATTTTCTCAAAAAGCAGCTGGAGTTCCCCATGATTGATTTTTCTACACATGAATAATCTTTTTATTAATATATCCACTTTGAACCAGAGCAGATGGTGAAAGCACAGCCATGATCATAACAGGATGTGTGTACACGTCTATGTTTTACGGCCGCACAAAGAACAAATGGGTCCGATTTAGCCGGCAAAAGCAACACCTGTGCACACATATAGATGAAGGAAAAGGCATGTTTCCAGGTTTTTCATGTGTTGAGTAATCTAAAGCCTGTGGCAGTCCTCTCTCACTACGCATCCACAAAAACCAGGCCAGTGTAACTAATTGTCAGAGTGTAGTTTAGTTTGGGTTCTTTGTTGTTTACCTGTGGGTCACGTGAGTTGTAATATACTGTTCAAATAATACTGTGAGTGAGTATGAGAAATGCCCACCCTGTCTGAGTTTCCAACTGAGGAGGATGATCAGTGCTAGCAGCAGCAGAGAGACAGACAGGAAGAGCATCAGTCCAAACAGCCACACTGGAAAAAAGCTGCCTGCATCACTGTTTGACATCGTGATGCTTCCCTGCAGGAACAGAGCCAGATCAGTCCAGGGGGAAGTCAGCACAGCCATGTTAGTCCTGTGAAGCAACAGAAACGGGGAGAACATCAGGTCTGCTGTGGCAATATGATCACAGAACACATCAACGCGAGTACTTTAATGTGTCGGACCGACAACAGCTAAGTTTTAGGTTAAATAACAAATAAGTAACAGTAGTGCTGACGACTTTTCTTTCAGTTAAAGCCCAAAATCTCTTTGGTCTGCAGCTGCTTTTGTAGTATGAAGCATTTACTGTACAAGAAACGTACACTAGCAAGTACCAGCTTAACCCCCCACACCTAGTGTATCATATTTGATACATGAGTTTTTGAGACTAACCCCTGTGAAAAAAATAAATAAATAAATTTAGTAATAAATATTTTGCCAAAACAAAACCCAACAACAAATATGATATAAATTAAAACTCAAATATGTGAATTGGCCACCTCTCCCTGAGCCTGGGAGTTTTTCCTTCCCACTGTCGCCAAAGTGCTTGCTCATAGGGGATCATGTGATTGTTGGGGGTTTCTTTGTTTTATTATTGTAGGGTCTACCTTGCAATATAAAGAAAATAAAATTCAAATAAAATTGAATTGAAAATAGAACTTTATTTTCAGAATTACAATTGCCTGGCAATTATTTCATGGTTCAGGCTTTAAAGGGTTAATAAAAGCAGACTATTTTTAGTAGCCAAGCGTGTGTATGCCAATCAAAGGTTGGAATAAACACCAGACATCAAATAAGAAACGTGTTCCAAATTTCTTTTAAATCGATTTCTCAGTACAACCATTCTGTGTGTAGTTTTCGCTTCTGGTTGATTGGTTTTAGTTAAGGGTGGAACTGAATAAACTTGTATACATTCTCAAACCAATGATCTTAGAACATACACAACCAGAGTAGCTGTCCCTTTGGATCAGATTCAGAATAAACTGTATTGTCATTGCACCGTATGGTTAAAAACTACAACACAACAAAAAGGGACATATCGGGGAACGTCTTTGATCAGCATTTAATCCTGATAGGTTTTCTTTTGAACTTGCCTAGGACATGCTGTGTGCTCAACAGAGGCAACCGCAATCAATGACCATTGCACAGCTGCAGGCTGTACTCATCCAGGAATGGACATCTGGACACTACACAGATGGGTGATTGCTTAAATATGTATTTCTATATGATTAGAAGTGTAAACTGTGACAATGCAACACTCCAGACTTGCAGCAATGTTGCTTCCATGCTTGGTGTTAAAGCCTCTATAGTCTAAATTATGGATAATCCTTTGCAGTCATGACATTTATATATTTTGTGTTTCAAACACTGGTTTTGATACAAAGTTTAGAATGATATTTATTTAAAATAATAATTCCCTGCAGGTTCAGCTAACCTTGCTGAAACTTGAATCATAGTTTTCATCCCTTTCAAGCGGCCTTGTCGGTCTCAGTGCAGGTTATGAAATGATAACTGTAACATGTAATCTATTGTTCGAGTTCCTTCGCACGTGTTTTCCCTCATTCAGATGAACATGTGCTTTTATGGATTCACTTGTGTCCATGTACACACAGTGCATTTGGAAAATATTCACACTGCAGAGTTGTTACTTTTTTTAAAACAAAGTATCGAGGGAAGGCTGCGACAGCTTATGTACACGTTATAAAGTTGTTTGATTTTTAACAAAATTGCAGTTTAAAGCTATTTTTTCCCACTTTCTCATTATGGGGTGAAATAAAAAATAAATCTGTTTTGGAAGAAGGCTGTATGATGACAAAATGTGGTCATGTGAGGTGCTGTGAGTACTTTCCAGATGCGCTCTGAGTGGCATGTTCCCAAAAGCTTTGTATTAGGAACAAGACTGTTTGATCTCGGTCATGGTTTAGACTAAAATACAAAAGTTCACGGCAGTTTCACCACTTTTTTTCTTGGTTGCCTGGGTTACGTGTCCCTCAGAGGAGCGTTGAAAACATGCACGATGCAAGCAAGAAATGTACTTCCACTTAAAGTACAGTTCATACAGTTCATGTCCACGGACAAATAGCTTGCACATTTGTGACTGTTTCACTCTTTGGCCATGAAACCTTGTGCTCATTTTGTCCATACGAACGTGTACAGTCAGTACAGATAAAGCAGGATCACCTATACAAAACATGAATCACACTCACAGTTATCATTAACACTACAACCAAATCTACTTACGGTTTTTAGGCCCCCAGTAATGCAGCTTTGAAGGCCTTTAGGTGGAAATGACCTACAGATGTTCTCCAGAGATTAATGAGTTTTGTCCTTGCTGACGTTAAGCTGTCTTTTAAAGAAATCAGTCAGTTGCTCCTGACGCCGCTGAGATTATGCAGGAAAAATAAATCTCGTGTTTTTATTTCCACAGTGAGAAAATGAGCTAAAAGAAGTCCAGTTCTTTGTTTCTTCTTTTTAGTGTGTTTGCTTCCTGTGTTTCTCTGTCCCCGACTCACTTTGATTGGGAGAAACAGCACTGCTGTTGACAATGTGAACTTTGTTCTGTTTCAACAGTCGAACCGTGTGATTAGTAAGATTAGTTTTACTGGACCGTGTGTGTGTGTGTGTGTGTTTAGTAAGAGGATTGGTGCATGTTACTGTATGCACTGGTGTCCTTAAACCGTTTGAATCTGGGAAATAATTTACATGTTATGCTTCTGTGCTTGTTTGTGTGCACTGTGGCTTTCTGCAGTGTTGATCATTGAACCTTAGACCTTTGTGCTTACTGCGTCATAAAAGAAAACCTCACAACACATGCAGTTTTTCAGCTGTTCTCTCAACTCTTTTGCCTTTCTCTGCTTTCAAACACTCTCTGCACCAACAAACACTGATGCCGTTTTGGTTGATGGCATCACTGATTAGTTTCAAACACAACTGATAACCGTAATCTGGACGATATCACTACAACATATCCATCCATCCATTCTCTTTAGCTTATCCTTATAAAGATTGTGGTGGTGGAGCGTCTCAAACAGGCTCTAGTGCTGGTGAGCACGGGGCCCACTAGAGGATGTTGGGTCCTCAGGCCACCCTCATGGAGTCTGTTTCTGATGGTTGCTCAGAGACTTTCACACCAGTGGCCTGCTGACCATGCCACTAAATCACAAAGAATGCAGTACTGAATCAGACAGTTTGCATTAAAATGCAGAGATACATGGCATGCATATGCAATCTGTGTAGGTTCTCTGTCATCCAGGTCATGGTAGTCTAAGGATCTTGAAAATAAACTAGCTGGACTTCTTTAAATTTCGTGAAGATGTTTCATCTTTTATTTTATCTAGCTACTTAGACATATACAATATATCTCCGTAATCAGTCACAGGCACAAGTTTGTTTTTTTTCTTGGCTCACAGGTCACACCACACTCACCACAAACTTTATTGGGTACACCTATTCAGGTGCTCGATCACACAAATATATAATCAGCCAGTCACATGGCAGCAACCCAATGTATTTAGGCATGTAGACATGGTCAAAAAAACACTGAAGTTCAAACTGAGCAACAAATTGGGGGAAGAAAGGCGATTTTGTTTAGTCTGACACGGTTCTGCCACATGGTTGGTGCCAGACAGATTGGTCTGACTGCTGATCTACAGGGATTGCCCCACACAAATATCTCTAGGATTTACAGAGAACTGTCTGAAAAAAAAAAGATCCAGTTATTGGCAGCTTCCTGTGTCAAAATACCTTGTTGGTGTCAGAGGATAGATGGCTTTGAGCTGATAGGAAGGGAACAGTAACTCAAATAACCACTCATTACAACCAAGGTCTGCAGAAGAGCACGTGTGATAGTACAAAACATTAAACCTTGCAGAAGACGACCACACTGGCTACACTCAACTTCTCAGCCAAGAACAGGAAACTGAGGCTATAACTCATCCAGTCTCAACAAAATTGGATAATTCAAGATTGTCCATGTTACTTAGCTTAGTTAGTTTCTTGAACATGATCCAATAGAGCACCTTTGGGATGTGGTGGAATGGAGGGAGCTCTTGTAGGGTGTTCATGGTCTGTAGTCGTCTGTATCCATAGTGGTCGAAGAAACAAAGAGTGGTGAACCAGTGACAGGGTCATGGAGCAAAGTTGGCCCCTGCGGTCCAATCTAACAGGTGAGCTACTGTAACTCAAATTGCCTAAGAAGGTAATGCCGGATCTGATAGAAAGGCAAGAAAATACACAGTGCATCACTGTTTGTTGCTGTTTGGGCACCAACACAATATTAGGCAGGTGGTCATAATGTTATGCTGAGTGATGTATCCTTGCTTGTATGTGACAAAGTTTAAGTATCTTTGTCCTTTTTGCAGTTTGACATTCTGCTTCCAGTCTCCCCATCAAACATTTAAACAGAACATTGCTTTCAGGCTTTTGGGTGAAATCACAGACACAATCTGGCTACAGCCAGTAAGAACTCAGGTTAACTGTGTGATGCTGCCATCAACATCAATATAACTTATTAAGTTTGTTTGAAAGAAGGGTGGAGGCTGTGGCGTCTTTGAAGGTTGTATAGCGTTCTGTTTTTTTCTGGTAGTTTGATGCATGTATCATGCATGGATGTATACATGCATGTTTAATTAAATTAGGCAAATGAAAAAAACAAATGGAAAAACAAACAAAAAAAAGAACGCAAAAGTTACATTCATTATTTAGATATGGCTGATAAAACATTAATGTGGCTCTTGTGAGAAGAGGAATTGAAACTAATCTGTTGAAAAATCTCCTGAAAGCAGCCATAACCCTGGCTAAACATTTCCTCCCTCGACATGCAGGAGGAATTTTGGCCCATTTTGCCATTTCCTCTGGACTGAGACAAGCAACAGAAAAGAAGAAAAAGAAGGGTTGTTTTTTTCCCAGCACCACTGTTGCTGCCAAACTAACCAGCCCTTCAGTCAGTCTTGTTTCTTTGTGATTGTCTCTTATTTTCTCTTGTGTGCTGCTGCTGACAAAGTGAGCGTAGATAAAATTCTGAAATGAAAGAAAATGCGCACAAGCAACAAACAAGACCAAACTCGATTAACAAAATGTAATCAGCAGAAACTGGCTGGGAGCTGCCAGAAATGTGGCTTCTGCAATGGGTCGGGATTTTGGGACAGCAGTGATCCTGAGGCTGTCTCAGGAACACATTATCAACACTCTGGGTGTTTCTCCACTGTTACAGCCCTAGCTGGGCCTCCTGATACTGCCCTTGTGTGGGCTTGGTGTTTTTCTCTGCCTCCTCCTCTCTTGCTCCACCCCTCTGTCTCTCTCTTGCTCTTCTCTCTCCCCAGGACACAGCTGCTGCTCATTGGACTCATTTACCACCTGGGCCCAGTTGGCAATCATCCTCTCTGAGGTCATATAAGCTGGGGATGAGCTGTGAGCAGTGTGGGGTGTTCTTGGTGTGTAGTTATCCTGCCTGAAGTGTGGAGTTGTGGAAATAGTATAGCTGCTTTACGTGAGTAGTGTGGGCTTGTGGGCCTCGGCAGCAGTAAAGCTAGCTGCTAGTGATGGGCAGATGAAGCTTCATGAAGCACTGAAGCTTTTCATCCAATTGGTTCACTCCAGCGCAAAGCTTCTTAAAGCTTCATTTGCTCTAGTAGGACACCTACTGGACATAAAAATATTAGTTGGCATGAATTTGAAGAGTGTGGCCTTTTGCACACAGCTTGTAAATGTCAACAACAAAAGGAGTGTGTAAAACATGTATATTGTAGTGATGGCAGTATACTGTGTATATTTATACTGGCAGTATGGAAAATGATTATTTGGAAATGCTTAAAATGGAAATGATCATTTACTGTGAGGTGAGGTGTAGTTGGGGTGTGGACAGTAGTTGTGCTTTTGTAACACTGAGGTATGGACAGCTACACACTGAGCCTCAGTCCTGCCTGTTCACATTTTATTCTGTAAAAACTACATTTTCACTGCTTTTATGACCTTTTTAGTGGGGAGAACATAGCTAGGATTTAATGATTTAACAAATCTTTTAAATCCTTTGTCCTCCACAATGCTAAATGGCTCAATCACCATGCTAACCAGGTCTTCATCTATTTGAGATGGTTCTCCTGAGGAAAGACAATAAAGACAAAGCACAAATATAAATATCACACACGTAACTTATAACAGCTGTATAATATTGTTATATCATTTAGTAACATTACTGCATGCTATATTATCATGGCATTTGATGGCTCACCTGGTCCTGCTCCATAATCGGTGTTCCCCTTATTCTCATGCGAAGCTCTGTAGTGCCTAAGCATGGATGAGGTGTTGTTGTTATATCCCAGCTCCCTGGCACATAGCAAACACTTCACCTTGTACAAAAGTAAAGCCGCTTAACATAAATTGTATTGCACCATCAGTATTATGAAAATACATCTTCTGTAGAAATTTACATAGCTTGTTGGGAGGAATAAAATCAAAATGTTCCCACACAGGGGAGGACATCCTCCTCTTCTTAGCTGGCTCCCTTCTCTCCTGACTTTCTCTCCTCACTCTCATAAACCTCCAAACTGTCTCCAAACTCTCACTAACCGCAACTCTCCATCAAACACCTACATTTTGAATGAAGTCTGAGGGGTTTATATCGCTGTCATATCTCGCGGCAAAGTTCGAACCACTTCATGAACCAGTCACGTGGTACAGCCGGGCGGCGAGGCTTCGGACGTCATCATTTTCAGCTCCTCCCATAAATGAAGCAAGCCTCGATACGCGCATCGCGGAAACGCCCCCTCCATTACTCGACACAAGCTTCGAAGCCTCGATACAGAACGTCACATCACTACTAGCTGCTGCTAGTGATAGGGTGAGCTTGTGGGCCCCTGGAAGTGCCTCCTTGTGGTGTGGAGTTTGTTTGGTTGTTGTGTTCTTTGTTGTTGCAACCTTTTTTCCCATTTTCCAAGTGTTATTGGTAAAACGGCGTTGCCGGCTCTTTATGTTATGATTATCTATAATAAAGACTATTTTATTTACTAAAAACACCTGTCTGTTTTCCTTTCATTCTGTTCTGGACTCATTTGTTACTGGTCCCCTCACTCGCATGCCTAGACCCCTTCGGGGGGACGTAACATTCACATTTTTATTTCTGCCTACTTTGAAGTCAACCTTCAGCAAAGTGTGTTTTTGTTACCAACATTCACAGAAAAAAGAGGAATCCTGCCTCACCTCTTTGTCTGATTGCTGCTGTAGGTATGAGGCAGCATCCACTTTGATGAGTGGAGTTGGATGTGTGCATCTGTTTGTGTGGGCGGAAGATCATGTTTGTGTCGTCAGCACTGTGGGAACGGATCCTGTGTTTCATTGATTGTACAGTGAGATGAATCCAAGTCATCTCTCCCCGTCTGCCACATTGTGCTAAGGCCAAGTGGAGGGAAACAGCAAAAAGAACAACACACATAAACATCATTTGAGTTCACCATGATGTGTAAAACATTACAATTTGAAATCTGCAATATCTTTTCCTAAGTTTTTCTGAGTGTTATGTAACATGCTTGCTTGTGTGGAAAGATCTTTTAGTGGACGCGCAGCTTACTACATGGCCAGTGTTTATTG